CGCCTTCAGACACCAACTGTGATGATGGTTGTGTTTATCTAAGTGCGCTTCCTTCTCCTAGGCCTTGAATTTTGGCAACTGAAAGATATTATCGGCTTGTAATGCTTCATTCGCATTTTCTGGTTGTCTGAATTTTAATAGTGATAAGGCTGAAAACTGGGTCACTATCGAATTTTCAGCCATACTGAAATCACACCTAAACTCATTGATGAAATAGTGTAAATAGTCAAAACGCTGCCTCGAATAAATATAGTCACCTTTTAAAATATTCTCTTTTTTAACTTTGACATTAATGTGTTTCATTATTCAAAGTAGCTGTTTAAGCATCAACATGAAAAAATTATTATATTATTATATCCTTTAATTCCTAGAGGAACTGTGCGTCGGTGGCACAGTGGTTAAGACTCTCGCCGACCATGCACATGGTCCGAGGTTCGATCCCCTGCCGACGCACACCTGATATCTATGGTCGGCCTGAAAAATTTGGGCTACCGACAACGTAGGCTGAAAATTCCATACTTGTACCAAAAATACAGTGTGGAATCAAGCTGTAATCAGAAATAAAAAAATAGGGCTTCAGCTGCGTGTCTCCATTGCCTTCGGTTTTCTGCCAACTTATTCACCCCGCTCCAAGTCTGCCCACATGCCTTCAACTCCTCTTCACATGACCTCATCCAAGTCACCCTTGCACTGAAGGCCAACTCGCCGCTTCCCTTTCGGGTTCCACTCGAGCGATGGCTTGTCTAGTGATGTCACTTGATGGTTTGTTTTCTGAGAGTATGGCCAATCCATCTCCATTTCTTCCTGCATATTCGTTGCACAATTCTTTCCTCATTGCCAGAGATCCCTGTTACTGATCTTTTCTGGCCCGCCATCTGATCTTGAGTGGTATTGAGCGAAGACAACTGTTAATGAAGGTATGAAGTTTGTTTGAGATGCTCTTTATGACGCGTAGTGCAAGTCACTGATCCGTGTAGCAGCACATTGGAGTTGAAAATCCGGATCTTATTTTTGATGCTGAGTGATGTTGACCTCCACACAGACTTAAGGGTAATGAAAGCCTGTCTTTCTTTTCCGATTCTGGCTTTGTTATCCTCGTCAGCTCCGTCGGCCTGTAGTTGAAACGATGCTTCCCAGGTAGGTGAAGGAGGTTGTTTCTTTCAGGTTCCTCCCATTTATGCTGACTGTCGTCTGTTGTTGTTAGCCAGGAATCTTCACCACATCTGTTTTCTCTATGTTCACTTGAAGTCCTATCTTATCTGGGTGCTTCTTCTGCCAACTTATTGCTTTTCACTTGCATATCTTCCAGTTTGTGGGAAATCAGATACATATATATATCATCGGTGAAGTCCAGATCCTCCAAGTTCTTTGTGTGAGTCCATTTTATGCCTGTTTCCTCATTGCCCGTTTTCTATCGCATTATCCAATCTAATGCAATCAGGAAAATCATTGGCGATAGTAGACAGCCAGCTTGCCTCACTCCCGTCCTCACTTCGAAGGCTTCCGTAAGTTTCCCGTTGTGGATTACTTGGCATCCAGCATTGTCGTACAACTAACTGTTGGATGAGATGTATAATTGTCGATGGCACCCCGTAGTAGCGAAGTAGTTTCCAACTCACCTCTCGATCGACGGTGAGCCATCAAAGGCCTTTTCAAAGTCGATGAAGTTGAGGTAGAGAGCTGACCGCCATTCTAATAATAATAATAATAACAGCTTTATTCCAAACAGTATTTGTGGTACAGGTATGGAATTTTCAGCGTGCATTACAGTATATTGCATCTAATTACCTCATAAATTATATAAGATTTTTAAAAATCAAAGATAAATAAATAAAAATAAAATAAATAAGTTATAAATAAATAAAATAAATAAAAATTAAAAATTAAGAAAAAACAGCGTAGAGTATTACATTTCAAACAATGCACCACAGGATATGAAATATAAAGTTGATGTGTGATAGAAGATGAGAACAACAGTGTAGTAGTAACGAGGAAAGGAAAACAAAAACTAATGAGACTATTTGTTAGAGTGCTGCAGTAAGTTTATCGTGTCATACCTAACGGATTTCTCATCACATAACAGCTGTGCCAGATATGGTATTGTGGAGTTTTTGTATTTGGTAGTCCTAGCATATAGCCTCCTATAGCTGCTTCTAGTTCTTCCAGATGAAATGCAAGGAGATAGATGCCTATAGAGAGGATGCTCGGGGTCCGACAATATTGTATTCGCTAGTTTCTTACATGACATAATAAGTCTATCTACAATAGTGTTCACCAGTTGGTTTAACGATATCCCACTTGCCCTACTAACAGCTTTTAGTGCCCTTCTCAGCGAAGCAAAGTCTTTCTTAAGTAGTCCTGTCTGTCTGTCTGTTTTCGACATAGAACTTTGCACAAATGTGCGGAAGTTCAAGTCGCCACATTCCGTGTAGCACGCGAAGCAAGAGAAGAAAGTACAAGAAAAGCATAATAGAAACAGTGAGCAGAGGTGTGAGACAAAGGAGTAATAAAGAAATACAAAACAATTTCATTGAAGATCATAAGTCACAGGGAGTGGATGCATCTGCGCCACTGAGAACGATTTTGAGCCATGTCACCAATTGTTTCCAACCATAGATTTTTGCCGTCCCGAGGACCCCAGCCTGGAAGTCTACACCTTCCTACGTGGCTAAGACCAACTGTTGTGGATTTCATTGACTGATGCCAAGTAGTCCAGGAAAGACTAATGGGGAGCAGTAAAAGGAGGATGGGTAGAATACAAGAATTTACAAACTGAGAAAGCAAAGACTGCTTTATACCAGACTGCCTAAATTTCCTAATGTAGAACGTTAAGCGAATTGTTCAGTGATGATCCGTAGAGTGGCGATTTGATTAATACATTACTTCTTTCTCATGAATTCAGCCTGTTCCGGTCGAAGTTTTTCATCCAGGTTGGCGTGTTTAATTCTCTCCAGGGTGATGCGTTTTAGTATTTTGCTTGGAATGGACAGCAGCATAATTTCGCGCCAGTTTTTGCATTGACTTAAGTCTCCCTTCTTTTGTAGTTTGAATAAGTATGCTTTCTTCCAATCCTCAGGTACCTTGCCCTCTTTCCACACCTTCGCCAGTTATAGCGTCATCAAGTCCGCTATTGTCTCTGGGTCCATTTTCAATGCTTCTGCTGGGATTCCATCCGTTCCTGGTGCTTGTTCAGATTTTAGTCTCTTGATTGCATTCAGGACTTCTGATTTCGTCGTGGGTTCGATGTTCACTGGTAGACTTGCTTCCGTTGTTGGTGTTGTTGGGTGCGTTGTAGGTGGCGGACGATTTAGAAGTCTTTTGAAGTATTCAGCCCAGTGTTTTCTTTGCTCCACCTATTTGGTGATTGACTTTCCATTGTCATCCTTGACTGGCTTAATCTGTGTTGAACTTTTGCCCGATAGGTGCCTACTTGTTTGGTAGAGTGTGGCGAGGTCTCCTTTGCCTGCAGCTTGTTCTGCTTCACTTGACATGGCTTCATAATATTTTCTTTTGTCTTCCCTGGCACTCTTCTTCACTCTTTTGTTCAGCGTATTGTAGCTTACATTCAGTTCCTGTTTTTGTTGCCCGTCGGTGCACTGGATAATCTTTTGTTTCACCATCCTTCTCTCCTCTATTAGTTTCCAAGTGTCCGTAATGAGCCACTGTTTGTCCTGTCTCCTCTTTCTGCCCAGAACCTCCATGCAGGTTTGGCTCCACACCGTTTTCAAGTTGTCCCAGTGCTTTTCGACGCCGACCTCTTCGCTAATGTTGATTTGTATCTCGACTTTGTCCCTCATGCTTGCGATGAAGATTTCATTTGTATCTTGGTTCTTCAGTTTTTGAGTGTTGAACTTGGCTTGTGGTCTGTCTGCAGCTCCTGTTTCCCTGAAAGCTTTTAATTTGATTTGGATTGTCCCTTGTACGAGATAGTGGTCTGAGTCAACGTCTGCTCCTCTTCTTACTTTTGTGTTCAGTAGGCTGCGCCTCCACTTCCTTGAGCAGCATTGAGATGAAGTCAATTTGGTTTTTGGTTTGCCCATCTGGTGACACCCATGTAGCCTTGTGGATATCTTTGTGTTTGTATACGCCGCCACCAGTGACTAGTTCGTTGAAGGCGCAGAAGTCGGCGAAGAGTTCTCCATTTTCATTCATTTATCCGAGAGTTTCTCTACCCATAATGAGTTCCCTTCCTGTGTTGTCTGGTCCCAGTTTGGTGTTCATGTCTCCAATAGGATAGAATTGTATTCAGAATTTCTGCAGCTGAAGGCAACCTCAGGTTACTTTGTGACTATTTTCACCTTATAATATGCCTTGTATAATGGAGCAAATTAATCCTCTTTTTAACTCGACAGTGTAAAGCATTCGAAGAAAATAACAAAATGATTATTAGTAAAATGTATTGTTTCCTTCACAGTTAACAATGATCAGCTGACGATTAAAAGATTGCAACTGAAAATTAATTGATATATCTAGCAGCTAGGAAATGTACTTGGTGACTGCCAAAGGTGAAATCATGAGTAAAAATTGATAATGTTATAGGTTAGTTACAAGAAAGCATGATTTACAGAGACTACTATTTTTTGTGCATTATTCATCCTAGCAACTCACTGTCAAGGTGAAAACTGATGATGTCACTAGATATTTTTCAAAGAAAACTTTATTCATAATTCTTTCTTCCTGCAATCGCTCGTTCCTGTAGTCCTGAGGTGAATGTTTATATTGTTACTCCAACACCCTAAGACGTAAATTCCACTGTTATTATTCTTTTCTTAAATATTAAACAGGTGAAATCGTTTTTTTAATGATGTATTCGCAAATATAGGAAATTTCCCAAAATCTTGTTAAAAAGGTATGTTAGTTATTGATAACAAACATGCGGTGGATTTCATTTTCTTAGTTTACTGAGGGAAGATTCTATTCACGTGACAATATGAGGCATCAATATCGATCTGAAAGTAATCGAAGCTGATAATTCACTTCTACAAATATAAGGAAGTAATAATACTAGAATTTCTTCTTTCTTTATCTATACAAATTCACAGTAATGAAGAAAATATTAATGAACACATCGACACATTCAAATCAGTCTAATGCAAGTCAACCATCATTATTTCCGTTGGAGAAATTTAATAAATCATCATCCAACCTGAATAATATAGCCTACCAAAAATATAAAGTGTTCTATGAACGTTTATATAAGTGTTTATGTTATTTGAAAACTGAAAATTATAAACTGCTTGAAATGATACGTAATAGACAGTGTGTAAAACTTGACTACACAAAAACATTGAACGAATTCCTGGATGAATTCGCCTATAAGGTGGCGAATAAAAAGGAAGCATATGAAAAAATGTTAATCAGCCAAGCTATGAAAGAAGGTCAGCAGACATTTATGGCAAAACGGTGGAAAGTACGCTATTACAGCTTAATGGAATTAGGTTTATTGATAGAAAAGTTCTTGTTAAGAGAAAACAATAAAGACTTGAATATGTTGCTCGTAAACAGTCAGAAAAGTGATCAGGAGGAGAGAACAGTAGAGGCAAAAACAAAAGTCACACAGACAGAACAAAATCTAAAATTGATCAGATTTTTTGACGAGATCTTAAAATTACCATGGTCCCAAAATCATATATCAGACAAGGAGATTTTCTCTGTTGATAATGATGTCATCATACTGAATGATCATTTGTCTCCACTTCATTCACCGAAACAATCAGAAACAGTTGGTATTAATTTAAGCTGCTTAGACTTTATTGATTTTGACAAGGTTAGGTTAAACCAGCCAGACTGTAGTTGTGTATCTTCTATATATGAATATAATGACTTTATCATACCTATATCGAGCATTTTTATCCAAGACTTGTTAGCCAATCATAATTTGTGCACAGAAGAGATTAAACAACAGAATGATATGAAGTATCGTTTATTTCATGTATTGAAAAGAACCAAAGAACAACGGAATCAGTTAAAGAAATATGTTATGGAACAACAAGAAAAGATACAGATGTTGAGTAAAAATATCATTGAAACAGAAAGAATAATATCTACATCACAAGCGGTTGATATAAACCATCAAACAGTCAGTGGAAAGGATAATTTAACACCTGCCAATGTGGTTGATCAGTCTACCTTTCCATACTGGAAAAGTGAAAGTGATAAAGTAAGTGAACACGAAGATGAGTACACTTTGCACTTGAAATATTTACAAAATGAAATTGACTATTTGGCATTTCGTAAACGAGAACTTCAAGGTATGTTGTCTGAGGAAGAACAAAAAAGAAAGCTATTGTTAAAGAAAATGCATAATCTTGTCAATACAGTACATGTCATATGTCGCATTAAACCAAATCCTAATAATTACCTGCAAATTATATCAGATGACAAAATTATTATACCAAAAACAATAGTTGTTTCCACACCTAGACAGATGGAATACAAAAAGAGCGACAAGAATACCGATTCTACCAATTATACAATTAATAGTGCTAGTCATCTACGCTGTTTTATTTTTGACAAAGTAATTGGACCAGATAACAGTGAATATAATGACTGGATAAAGCAAATAGGGACGTCAGTTACAGACTGTCTAAAAGGACTTAATCTAGGAATAATGGTTTATGGTTCAAAAAAAGTGGAAAATCATTTACAATGTTTGGTACACTTAACAATGAACAAACAACTATGGATGCTAAATCTAACTTAGGTGGAGTAATGTATGACGTTACAAACGTATTGCTAACGTCAATCAACCAGAAAACAGTAGACAACTGGAGTTATACTGTACGTGTACAAATCCTGTCAGTGCGAGATGACAGTGTGACAGATATTTTTAGAGAGAGGAAGTCATCAATGTTTAATACAATGGAAGCACGCTTTATTGATACCACATTAAGAGAGAATGACCGTATCCAGATTTCTTCACCGTCATTGTGGGAAGAGTTTGAACTCAATACAACCGAAGACCTTTATCATTTAGTCAAGTATATACAGGAAGTAGAATATCAGAATAAGAAATGTACCTCTTCGACAGAATCAGAATCCCAAACCAATGGACATTTGTTAGTCAGATACATGATAAAAGGTACTAATTCATCTAGAGACCTGTTAACAGCTGTGGAATCAAATATAATTCTAGTGAAATTAGCCAGCTGGGAACTGAAGAATGAAGCCAATATTTGTGACATTTTGACGCTGAACAAGAGGTAAATGACGCAACAGTTAAATATCATATTGGTTGTCAAGATTTACAGGAAAAAATATCCAAGCCGAAATTATCATCACCAACCAGTGTGAATAAGTCTTTGTCCACGCTGTCAAGAGTGTTTGTCTCACTAAGAAAACGTAAACTTAATCCACCATTTCATGAATCTTATTTAACACATTTACTGAAACCAGTCCTAAGTGATAATGCTGTGTGTTTCTTAATTTTGACCATTGATACTCATCCAGAATCACATGAATTAACTATGTCAAGTCTACAGTTTGTACAGAACGCAGTTTTGGCTAATACAGCTAACCTATCATGTCATACTTCAAAGTTGGAAGTCGAAAGTTCAGTTTGCTAGTTTCATCCATACAATTCGCCTAGTAAATATGAACAGCACTTGTCATATTAATTCTCTACTGTTTTTTTTTAAACGTCATTTACCCATACTTTGAATAATTTACGTAACTTTTTCAAGCTAAAAGTTTATATTTCAGTGAGGTTAAATTTCCTCTAGTTTATTTAAAGGATCTTCAATTGCAGAGTGCAAAAACAAAAATCAGTGTTGATACAAACACGAAATGTGATATAATTAGATCATCTGTGGTATTAAACACTGTCCAGTCATTTGTGAATAGTAAAAAACAAAAAAAAGAAATATTCTTAATATTCAAACTGTAATTCAGCTGATGTCTGATTCTAACTTTTATGGTGAATTAATTCATTTCCTTTGACTTAGACGAACCAACGTTCAATATTTTTTATATTCGAACTTATTCTCTCCAGTATGTGCGTCCTTTCAGTGAACAAATGATCAAATTTGTAACTAATCTGGTCTATTTTAATCCATTAATCTTGTTTAAGGATCATATCATAATTTTGTGTTTTACCTTGAATACTTCATAATTTCTGTATAGGAAGCGACAGTTATCTGTTGACTTTTGAGGCTATAGCTTGCTCTTAGTTGTTTAGCTGTGAACTATCACGTCAGCTTTTATTTTCAATAGTATTTGAAATGGTTTTTAGTTCATTAACTTTTTTGCAGTTGCATAAAGTATACTGAATTCTGTATATCAATAGTTTTATTATATTTGTCGAAATAAAATATCTCAGCATTTTGTGTTCGAAAAGCAGAGTTTTTAATGTTTTCATTGAATAAACAAGAAAGAAATTTTATAATGTTGTAAAAATGTATGGTTTCTCATTTATCAGTTTGAATCGTCAGATACGCAGGTGAGATAATTCGTCTACCCGTTAGAACAATAATCAACTTTATAGCAGTATAAACTTGTGAGGTATGAAGATTGTACTCAGAAATTTCTAACAGATACAGGGTTATAATCCTAAGTGAATTTCTGGAAATGCTCAAATGCAGTCGAACCACAAGTAAGTGATTCTGAATTCAGACATACAGAACAAGTTAAAGAGTAAATCAATTAGGTAGGTTATGTATTCTGACCAGATGATGCCTCTGAGACAGTTGTTGCGCATCCTGGATCACTTGTCTTCGCTGTCTACTTCTTCTGCCAGTTTCTTGCATTTCGCCTGTAAGTCTTTGGGTTTGTGTGACATTCAACATAAATCATCGATAAAATTGAGATCTTCTAGAGTCTTGTAATCGGTAGTCCAACGTATTCTTGTCTTCTCACCGCCTGAGCAATGTGTGATCAGCCTCCTTGGTAATCAGATACCCTTGAACATCTTTAATTGGTTTCATCATCTGGGTTGATCTCTTCCTGGATAGCGAGTGACCTGGTTATCCGATATAATGTCCTGATCTCTGTTCTAACTGCAGCCTACCTGCCTGCTTGCTCTGCTTCAATTGACAGTGTGTCGTAGACTTTTTCCTTTGTCCTTTCTAGCACTCTTCTTCACTTCTTTGTCCAGTGCAGTGGACACTGAACTCAGATTCTCCTTCTGTGGTACATACATGCATTGAGTCATCTTCTCTTTCACCACCCTTCTCTCCTCTCCCATCCTCTATTAGCTTCCAGGAAGATGTTCGTAGAGAGCCATTCCTTGTCTTGTCTCTTCTTTCTTTCTAGAACAGTTGTACATGTTTCCTTGAATATCACCTCCAGAGAAATTCCAATGTTCTTCCACACAGGTTCCGTCATTGGTAACACATAGCATCTCCGACTTTTCTCTGATCTGATCTGATCTGTGGTGAAGGCATCCCTTGGGGTTTTGTCCTTCAGTTTCTGAGTGTTGAACGTGAATTGCGGCCTGTCTCCAGTAGTTCTAAAGGATTTCAGCTTCACCTTGAAGGTTCCTTGAAATAGATGATGGTCTGAGCCTGCCCACATCTGCTCCCCTTCTGGACTTTGTATCCAGCAAGCTAGCTGCGTCTCCACTTCCTTGAGCAGCATTGATATGAAATCTATTTGGCTTGAGGTATGTCCATCAGACGAAATCCATGTTACTTTGTGTATATCCTTGTGCTTGTACACGCTGCTTCCGATCCCCATGTCACTTAAAGCTCAGAAGTCTGCGAACAATTCTCCGTTCTCATGCATTTTACTGAGCCAGGGCCTCTCGACAAATGTATTATCTGCTCCCAGTTTAGCTGGTATTCATATCGCCCTTTGGGATTTTGATGTCACCATTCAGGATGTTGTCCATTACATTTTGTAGTTGTCTGTGAAAAGCTTCTTCCTTCTCTTGTTCCACGTTGTTCGTTGCGCTGTATTGAGCATTGCATGATAACTGTGACCGTCCCCGCTGCCTTTTGAGTTAAGTCTTGTTGTCATTATGCTGCTGGGTGAGATTGGTCCCCACTGAATTAGTGCTTTGGCTGCCACTGGTGACATCACGATAGCTGCTTAGTGCCTTAGTGTTTTCGTGGTTGTCGTCTAGGTAGCCAGACCGGAGTAGATTACTGACTCTCCAGTTGACAATTTTGAAAATCTACTTCCATTGCATCTGGTCTCGCAGATACCAATCACCTCTCGGCAACATATTCTCATTTATTCGGCTAGCTGAGCAGCCTGCTCAGCCTAGTACATTGTACAGACATTCTACGTCCCCATTCTTATTCTTTTTTTTATTACATCTTGATTCCACACCGTATTTTCGGTACAAGTATGGAATTTTCAGCATGTGATATCGGTAGCTCAAATTTCCAGGTCGACCATAGATATCAGGTGTGCACCGGCAGGAGATCGAACCTCAGACCATGTGCATGGTCGGGGAGAGTCCTAACCACTGTGCCATCGACGCACAGCAGGAAAGCCGGCAACACCCGGTATTCCCAGCTGGTCACCCATGCAAGTACTAACCGGGCCCAACGTTGCTTAACTTCGGTGATCGGACGAGAACCGGTGCTTTCAACGTGGTATGGTCGCCGCTTTCATCGAGAGAAGACACATCGGCTGACTGCCTGGCTTCCCAAGAGGTGGGTTTCACCAGCCTTCTGTGTTATTTCGCCTCTCCGATTCCACAGAAGAGTAAGTTTTTTCTGAATTCTCTGTATCTTTAATATTTTTCTTGTGCGTTGAACTCTCTCCAGCAGTTTGATCAGTTTTGTCGTGTAGGGCAGTTAGCTCTTCGCCAACCCATTTCTCTCTATCCGGGTTTGGGATTGACTAGGAAACCGGTAGGCTAGTAAACTAGGCGAGATTGGCCTCAACCTACTCCCTTCTAATATCCGTTTCTCTAACGATAAAATTCTGTGGTCCTAGAATTTCCTTCTTAACTATATTATGGTTTGCTATCTGTTTGATGTCGCAATTTATCCACACTCACCTTTGACGATAAAGTAATCTAGATAAACTGGAAGTGTGCAAAAACTGTGTTAAGTATTCCATTTGGATATGGCTGAACCTGAATGCCGATTATGGGTAATAAGTTGTTCTCGAAATAGCTTTCACCTAACTGGACTGTATCATAGTGTCAATTAATGTCACTCAATACCGAATTACACATAGCAAACAACCTTAGAATAGATACATAGAAAAGGCACATACTTACCCAAACGTGACTAGCAGACAAAAAATGAATCCGTTGCTTAGTTCATAAGTATATGAAATGATATTCGATGGCAGTTAGGTTTGGATGTCAGTGAGAACATCAATTCTCAGGTCTGTCTATTTACACCGGCGTAGTTTCAACTCGAGGAGAACACGTGTAACCATTTCCTTTGTAAACTTCCAAACACCGAATAACACACAGGTGACAATAATTTTAAAGCTAACAAATAGTAATTTATTTCCAAGCTAGTAAGCCATGCGTCGGTGGCACAGCGGTTAGGACGCTCGCCGACCATGCACATGGTCTGGGGTTCGATTCCCGGCCACCAACGCACTCCTTTACCTCGCTAAGCCAGAAATAGTGCTGGTAAAGAGGAAAGGTTGGGCATGAGGCTAACAACCCCATCCTGTAAAAATAATCACCACTGATACAGAAACTTCAAACCACCAGCTTGAAGCCCTATGTTCCACTGGGAACGTGGAGGAAAAAAAATTGTTAACCCAAAATAATAAAAGCAAATCCACAGTATTCGTATGAACAGCAAAATGAAGGAGACTTATAAATTGTTCTCATCAATTTACTTGCAGGAATCGTTATTATGATTTTCCGAAATATTCAATTACTTCTTTCTCTGAAAGTTCAGAACCCCACCTAGTTTCCTTACAAGTTCTGAACCTAAGAAAAGGGGAAAGGTTGAAGGGCGGATAGCGATGACTACCCACAAGATTAAAAAACACATCACAAAAACTAAAAAGTATAGTTAAATTGGAAAAATTAGACCACTCTTCCCTTGAATCGGAGAGATAAAATCACACAGAATATTGAAAGCCTACAGAAAAATTGTCAGTCGATGTGTCTCCTTCCAATAAAAACAAAATTAAACATACCCATATGCTATATCCTCATGATGTTCGACCCTGGGAAGGCTGCTCAAATTACAAAAGAAATGACGAGGAAATGTGGCATGGAAGTGATGTGAATGTGTGAGAGCAGGTGGAATGGAAGCGGACTCTCCACATCGTCAACTGGAAAG